ATGAATAGTTATATTGGATGCTCCCCCCCCCCCCCTCCCACCACCCCCACCCCTCCCCCCCTACCAACCACACCCCACCCAACCCCCACCCCAAACCATGTCGTCGTCTGAAGAACTCCAGCTGTACTCGTACTGGCGGTCGTCGTGCTCGTACCGCGTCCGCATTGCCCTCGCCCACAAGTCGCTGGCATACACGTATCACGCCGTCTCGCTGCTTGCCGGTGAGCAGACCGAGGACGGGTACACCGAGCTCAACCCGTCCAAGCTGCTCCCTGCCCTTGTTCTTGCCGACGGAACCGTCATCGGCCAGTCCACCGCCATTCTCGAGTTCCTGGAGGAGGCCTATCCGGACGCGCCCAAGCTCCTTCCTGAGGATCCGCTCGCCAGGGCCTACGTCCGCCAGGCCGTGGCCATGATCGCTGCAGACATCCAGCCCGTCCAGAACCTCCGCGTCCTCAAGTACGTCGGTATGGACCGCAAGATCGAGTGGGGCGCTCACTGGATCGCCACCGGCTTTGATGCCCTCGAGGCCTTTCTGGCAAAGCACGCCGGGAACTACTGCATTGGCGACGAGCTCTCGCTCGCCGACGCCTGCCTCGTCCCGCAGGTCTACAACGCCCGTCGCTTCGGCATCGACGTCGAGACCAAGTACCCCATCATCGCCCGCATCGACGCCGCTCTCAACGAGATTGAAGCCTTCAAGGCCGCGCACCCGGACAACATGCCCGACGCCCAGGTCTCGGCCTGATCCCGCTGGTCTTTCATCGGAGTTTCTTCCGCCGTCGCGCGCTCGGCTTGCTACGTACGCTGCTTGCGCCGACTCCTCTATCGCTCTTCCGAGCCTGGTCTACACTGGCCCTTGCCTCTCGACCGGCTGCCGCGAGCACCCCACATCGCACCGCCTTGCACGCCAGCAGCGGGCCGATAAACACGCCAAAAGTGCCGAGCCCGAGCTTGAGGAGCGTGGTGGAGAACGAGGCCTTGACGTACGTCGCCTTGACCGACGACGTCACGCCGGCCTTGCGGAAGATCTTGTCTAGCGCCTCGTGCTTGTGAATGATAGCAAGGTCGCGCGGAGTGTGCCCGGCGTCGGTCTTGGCTGCTGCCACCACGCCGGGCGTCGCCAAGAGGAGCTCGACAACTTGCCCCGCACCAGCCTCGGCCGCAATGTGCAGCGGCGTGATTCCCGACGGCAGCCGCGCGTTGACGTCAGCGCCAGCCTCGACAACCGCCGCCACAACTGCCGTGCTTCCCGACGACGCCGCCGCGTGGACAATGTACGCGCCCGATGATGACGGCCCGGCGTTGACGTCAGCACCCGCACGCAGCAGACTCTGCAGAGCCTGCAAGTGTCCACCGAGCGCCGCCGAGAACGCCGGCGTCACGCCCTCGCGCGCATAGTTGACATCCGCGCCGGCATCTATCAGAAGCTGCACAACTCCGGTGTCGCCGCGCTCGGCTGCCATGTGCAGGACCGACCAGCCGGTCGACCGCGGCGGAGCGTGCGCAAGCGCGCGCCGGCGATCGGTGCCCGGGACCAGAAGCCAGCGGGCAATGGCCTCGTGGCCTTCCTGGACAGCGGCATCCAGCACCGTTGCACCATCGCCAGCAGGCAGCAGCAGATCCGCCCCAAGCTGCACCAGCCGCTTGAGGACGGACAGATGCCCGTTGAGGGCGGCGATGTGAACAAGGCCTACAGCCTGCAGATTGTGATCAGGGACCGGGACCGTTTCCCGCAGCATGCGGGCCCACTCGCCGCCTTCCATCCGCCGCACCGCACTCGCCAGACCATCGCCATCGTTTCCGGCCACCAGCGCCAGAACAGCCGACGGAATCGGCCCGTCGGCAGGAAGCAGAGCCGTGCCCTCGGCCCGCCGCCCGGCAGCCACCACCAACGCCACCGCAAGCGCCACCGCAAGCGCTCCCAGCCGGGCCCGGCCACTACGTCCCGGCCCCACACCGCTGCAGCCGCAAGCCCATGTCATGTTGCTACCTCGCGGTCGCAGTCGAGTCTGCAGGCTTGCTTGCTCCCCCCCCCTTCCTGGCCACTTGGCCGCCCTCCCCAACCCCGACAGGCGGCTGTGCTGGCCTCGCTTTCATTCAGCTGCACCAGTCCAACTCGGGCTCACACCACTCGCCATGCTCGATGTCGCCCTTGCTGAGTGCCTTGACCATGTACGGGCCCTCGAGCTCGTAGCCGAGGCGCCGGTAGTACTGGCGGGTGCCGACGCCGGCAATGACCACCATCTTGGTCGAGCCGTGCTCGGCGACGGCGATGCGCTCGGCCTCCTCCATGAGGAGGGTGCCAAAGCCCTGGTGCTGGAACTTGGTCGGATCGCGCGAGTGGAGTGGAACAGCCGAGCCGTAGACGTGCAGCTCGCGGACGATCGAGGTCGGGCCGGCGGTCATCTCTGGCCGGAACGCCGCCGGCGACGCCTTGCGCAGCCGCAAGAGACCGACAAGGATGTCCTGCTCGGGATCCTCGTAGGCGAGGAACGTCTCCCATCCACCATTGGCCACATAGTCGCGACGCACAAGCTCGACATGGTGCGGCCGGACCTGGTCGGTGATGGCCTTGATGCCGACCTCACGCGAGCGGACGTCGCGGCAGGCGTAGCCGAGGTCGGCGAGCCGTGCCATGGCCAGCTCGCGCAAGTTGCCGTGCTCCACCCCCGATGAGACCAGTGGCATCGGGATGTCGCGCTGGACGCGGTAGACCCGGGTCCACGGCGGGACAAGGGCCAGGAGCCGTGCCACAACGTCGACCAGCTCCTCGGGCGTGTAGTTGGAGTACCGCCCGGTCCGCCACAGCTCGTACAGGCCGGTCCCGCGGATGACGAGGGTCGGGTAAATCTTGAGGCCGTCGGGCCGGAACGCAGGGTTGGCAAAGAGCTCGGTGAAGCCGGCAAGGTCGCGGTCGAGCGAGCAGTTGGGCAGGTCGGGCATCATGTGCGAGACGACCTTGAAGCCGGCGTCCTTGGCGAGCTGAAAGGCCTCGCAGACGGCAGCCACAGTGTGGCCGCGGTTGGTATCGCGCGCCACATCCTCGTAAATGGCCTGCACACCCATCTCGATTCGCGTGCATCCGTACGCCAGCATGTCTGCCAGGTGCGGCTTGAGACAGTAGTCGGGGCGGGTCTCGATGGTGATGCCGATGCACTTGACCCGCGACTGCTCCGAGTAGGCGACAGCCTCGGCGACCGAGCTCGACGCATGACCCGAGAGGGCGTCGTGTAGGTTGCGGATAAAGTAGTCGCGGTAGCCGGCGTCGAGCGACATGAAGGTCCCGCCCATGACAATAAACTCGACCTTTTCCACCGAGTGACCGAGCCTCAGCAGCTGGTCAACCCGGTTCCGCGTTTGCAGATACGGCGAGTACCGCGCGCGAATGGCCCGCATCGACGTCGGCTCGTACCCTGTGTAGCTCTGCGTCGAGTACTCAAAGTCCGAGTCCGGCCCGCCCGGGCAGTACACGCAGATGTTGCCGGTCATGGCAATGTGCGGGCAGCGGTGCGGCTTGGACATGACGGCCACCACAGCAATGCCCGACGCCGTCCGCACCGGCCGCGCCTTCAGCAGCGGGAACAACAGGTCCTGATCCTCGGGCGCCACCGCCGCAATCAGCTCCACCCTCTTTGGGTACGACGGCAGCGCGTGCTTGCGGCACACGTCGCCAATGATCGCCTCCACCTTGCTGCTCACATCGCCCGGCCCGCTGCTCTTGCTCTTGCTCTCATTGCTCTTGGCTTTGCGCTTGTTCAGCACCCCACGCGAGCCAAACTCTCTCTTCAGCCCGGCAATGATCTCCGCAATGACCCCCATCCGGCCTGCCGCCCGTCGCATCACCCGACCATGACCCCCCCCGCCCCCCACGCCATCGAAGCCGTGAGCCATTCGCCGCCACCCCGCCCCCCTCCGAGCCCCCCACCCCCCCGCGTCGCCCCGGCGCCGGCGCTCCTCTTGTCCCCAACTTCAGGCCTGGCTTTTTATCACTTCCACGCTAGCCCCCCATTCTGGACAGATCCTTTT